TTTGAAACAAATAATAGAATTACCGGATGGTATAGTTTTATCAACATTTGCGGGAGGTCGAACACCCTGTTTTCGTCAGTGGAAACAAGATTAGTAATTTGAATAATGGAAATCAGTTCTTGTGAAATTTAACTACATGCAACTCGAGAGCACTTGTAGCGACCTACAGGCACCTGAGTACTAAAAGATAGCTTGCCTGCTCAGGAACAATTCCATTAGCATGCCTTCCAACATTAGCACGAAATTTTAGACTTTTCTCTGTGTTTGGTGCGATCTCTGAATCTCCTATATCGTAATTGGTGAGTGCAAGTTGTAAATTGAGGAAAAGATCATTAGTGACGAAAACAAGTGGAGACACAAAAACAGTCAGTTCAGCGGAGTATAAATTTACCTTCAGCATGGAAATCGGTGCAGGAACCCTGGTGGTCTTGATCCGTTGACGTGCTATCTCTAGAGCTTTACTCCCACCAATAAAATTTGGAGGTGAAGTGTTAATGTAATCCATCTGGGAAATGGAGAAAATAAATTGGAGAAAATATCGAGGAATCAACAACATAAACCAACAAACACACTTGTAATTGCAACGAAAAGTAAGAAGTGGGGGCTTAAAGTAATCCAAGGACAATGATATCCAAGGACAATGATTTATAGAAAAAACCTAGTAAGTATTAAATGTATAGATTTGAGTAGTTCTTATAATTTGTGAAATCTTAATTCTTTCTTGTTCCGAAGAAGATTCAAATCTCTTCACTATCCATATATCATACTAGACAATGAAAATGGAAACCAGAAAAGCTCAAATTGATGGTGGACTCAAAGTGATATGTGAACATTCTGAAGCACACATAATAGATTGACTTCCAGGGAAGATGCAGAATTGTGTATGAATACCTGCTGCGTAAAAATCAAGTTCGGCCAGATTAGTCCGATCAGGATATTGCAATAGCAAAGCTCGACTGGAGAAGGATGCGGCCGAAATCTAAATGTACATCGTAATGCAGTTTTCAGTATACATGTAACAATGCACATTGAAACTGCTGAAATTCAGCAGAACCATTCATACAAGCTTGAAATTAGAAAGATGCTTTCTTTCAAATTCTAGAATGAAAAATAAAAATGGATCTTGTTATCCTGAAAAGGTACTTCATACTCTCCTCATTCAATTAAAATTCAAAGCCGTTGCTCGATTCCCAATTTCTGCCTATCCAACTCCCTCCCTATTCACCAAAAACTTACACATCCACCAAGCTCAAATGAACAAGCACACTGATTATTTATAATTCAAGTTACACAATATTACCAGAAGAAAATATTCAAAATACTACAATTAGCCACTGTGTACAGAAGAGAGCCAAAATTTCCATATTCCACAGCATTTATATTGAATAATTTCTAGATATGCTTGTTAGAATATGAGATCAGCAATCTTCCAGCTACAGCAGATTCCATCTTATTACTGAATCCAGAAACTTCTACCAAACCATTTTGTCTCCAGCTGTAATGTTAGTTAGTAGTTTGTTAGTTAGGTTGGTTGATTAGTTAGAAAGTTAGTTAATTACTCTACCATTTTCTCTATAAATAGTGTCATTGTATGTATTGAGAAATCATTGGATTGTTGTATTCCAATCCCTCCTTTTATGAAGGTTTATCTTCCTCCTTTCATGGAATTTATTCGGATTCCATTGTATTTGTTCTTCTCCTTTTGTGGAGTTTAACTCAAGGATTGTAATTCAAGAATTTAACATGTTATCAAAGCAGTAATTGCTTCCTGCTGCTGCTTTTTGTTTTTCCAGCATTCTACTGTAATATGATTGTCATTTCCAGCAAGGGCGGGCCAAATCCCGTTGCGGTTCTTGGTTTTCTGAAGGTTGTTGATAATGGCAGAGCCTTCAAAGTTCAAAGGTCATTCATGTTCGTAGTATTGGACATGAAAACTTCTCTTCTCTTTCAGTTAGTTTTGGTTATCTGAAATTTTCAGAAATCTCTATGGAATTTCAATCTTCAAGATGGTGGAGAAATTGAAACAAAGATCCTTGTGGTATCTTGCAGTCTGTAGTGTGCTTTATGAAGATAGGGTAGAGTTGAAGCAGCCACAGATCTTAAATAGTCCATTTATCAGTCAAAGATTTTCATAGTCTGCACTTACTTAATCACCACTAACATTTAAAACTCGACCCTGGACCTGGCGGGTTGTGTTGTGGACCTGGCGGGTTGTGTTGTGATGCA